TATATATATATTGAAATATTGTGCTTAATAATGCCTGCCCACTAGAGGTCACTGTTTCTTCTTCTGTGATTTTCATGCAGTAAAACCAAAACTGAAGACATAACATATGACAGAAATCTGTATATAATGTTTTTAGGATAGTGAGACATTTTTTACAGGGTACTTACATTTCTGCTGCTGGTCGGGTTTCAGTAGACTGCTGATTAACATGTGCATTGTGCTGATTGTGTCATCAGTCCCCTTACCAAGAGACCTGATAAGATGTTCAAGATCTTTTCGCAAGTGCGCAAGAAGAAATGCAACAGGGTCAGGAACTGGAGGCTTGATGATTGCAGACATAAACTAGAAATACAAAATAAAATGTCATAAATAAAATTCTTCTCTATAACAGGACTGGATGAGCAGAGTAAAACTGTGCTCAAATTAAAAACTTTAAAGCCTCTTTCACAAGACAGTTCTGTGAAATCGCCGCACAGACCGGTCCGGTTTTAAGTTCCCTTGGGCCATTCATAAATCACAGGAGAAGCAGGCCAGGTCCCGCTCGTATGTACGTGTTCAGAAATGAACTCAGCAGCGTAGAGCTGAGAGGTGTGGAGCAGATCTCAGCGGGGCTGAAGTGTACTGTGATGTATTCATTGTGCGTCTGCCTCTACCAAACAAAACAAACTGAATTATCTTACTTTACTGATTTTGTGGTTCCATATTTTTAAAACTAACTACAAACATACATGTCGAGCCCTTCAGACTTTTACCTATATAATGAGCTTCAAAAATCCACAATCTTTGCAAAAAGTCCGTATTAATCGCAGTGTGTGTGTGTGTGCAGGCGGACTGTCGGCTTTATAGTTRACAGCCTGCAGCAGGAGGAGATGAGGACGGGAGAAATTATTTCTAGCTGCAGAGCGGGTTGGAAGATGGTAATTTGATGTTAGTTATTGTTCTTTTAATGTCCTACAAGCTCTGACATGTTAAATAAAGTTGTTTCGTGTCGTCTTCTATAGCCTATTCCTTTTGTAATAAATCTGTTTGTTGATTAATCCTGCGGTCGCTCACTGATGTCATCAGCTCATCATTTTCTGAATGCGGAACCGTGGGTTTCTTTTTTACAAGTCGGCCTGCCAGGCTCGAACCTGGCTCTGATGCTACCTCTCTTGGTGGCTTAGAGGGGCATCAGAGGCGGGCTCACTCACTAGTCGCCTTTCCGCCTTCGTGTTTTTTTCTGACTGATCGGAGAGGAACAGAACAGGCATCAGTCCCAGAATGAGCTGTCTTATGAATGAGGCTTAAATGTTCAACTCTGTGCAGCTACCTGTGGGTGGTTGCAGGCACCGAGCAGCATTGCTAAGTGAGTGAGCATGCGAACAATGGTGAAAGGAACTTGAGAAATGCTCTTTGTGTCCAACATGTCTGGATTGTCTCGTCGTCTCGGGTCACCGAGGACGTGGCCCGTCTGAGTGCGGTCACCTCTGTCAAAAAACAAAAACAAAAAATACATGAAAAAAAACCTGCTTTTTCCTTCTGCTGTAGATATTTTACAACGAATTTTGGAAAACACATACTGATGGTCAAGAATCTGAAATCCCTGGACAGGTCTGTGGTCGTTTCCTCCAATTACAGCACCACAGTCCACACAACGACTTGTTTGCATGGGCTGGCCACACTGGAAAACATACAAAAGTCATTCAGAATGTAAAATTTTTTTTAAAAAATATGTCATTACAACCTTTTTACAGATCAAAATAAACATATTATACCTCGCCAATTGTGCAGGGGTGTCCATTTGGACAACCTGTGAAAAGTTTAGAAAAGTTCATTATTGTTCTGTACAGTTTTACATCAGTTTTCACTGCTGTATCTTATGTGAGGGGACTTTTACTTACTGTACCACTGCAGCTGACCCATAGCTTGTTGAGCCACAGCTACCATATCTTCAGGCATAGTGGGCAAGAACGACGCCTGCACAATGAAATAAGCATTAAATTTGATTCAAATGAGAGGCAAAGCTGTCACTGACAACAGACGTTCTCCACACCTGCATGTTGGCAGGTGCCAACGCCAGCTGCTGGAGGGGAGATAAGATCCCCTGGTTTCCACAGAGCAGGACAGCAGCTAAGTGAACGAGTAATTCCCTAGCCACACTTTGGGCCCCGGAGACCCCCGGGCGAACAGCCAACGACTCCAAGCGGTTGGTCACTAGAGCCTGAGCGAAGGCCTTCATCTGTGCACTGGCAAGGACTTTGGATGACTGGATGTAGGTTATCAGGGCTTCAAGTTGCTGTAGGTTCAAACAAATACACATATATTCTCTTGCCGATTACAAAATATATTAGACTTTTAAGCAACACAATAATTTCAGAAAGGTTGGTTTATGAAATAAATTGCAAAGAAATAAACATGAGATTTGTTAATTTTGGAAACTTGGTTAAGATTACTTCTGGTTTGGGATGGAAGCTCTCATTGGCTTGTCCATACAGAGTGGTGATTTCTCTGTAGAATGCCAACAGAAGGTAAACTGTTCTCTGCTGTGGCAGGCATCTGCATCCCTGTGAAGAAAAGCAAAAAAAAAGAAAGAAAAAAAGCAAACATACAGTATAAACATAGATGCCAATCCAATACCATAGTCTGATTGGAAGTTACCATTAAATAAGTGATGTAATGTTACCTCACAGACTTCATCCAGGTTTTCCACTTTGCCTTCCATAACTATCTTTGCAACAGCCTCTCTGATTGTTTTGTAATCTTCCCCACACACAAGATATTGATCTATTGGGGAGGTTTCCTCATTCTGTGCTCAGAAATAAATGAAGCAGAAGAGTTAATAATCCCAAGCAGACATTTAAAACAAGTATCTTTTTTTAGCCACCAACACTGAAAATCAAACCTTTTGCTGAATTTCTTCAGGGAAGAGCCACCGTATTTGATCCCGTTTGAGAAGTTTCATGACATACTCCACTCCATGTTGGCTGCAGATTTTGCGGATCAAATAAACGCGATACCAGTCATTGCCACTCTTCCTACACAGGTTGACCACGCAGTCCAGGAAGGCTGTGGATCTACTTTGACCACCTTCTGGAGACCCTGGGTAAAGTTTAGTAAAAGAAATAAAATTGTGCTTTTGCTAATATTAACTCAATATACGTGAATATGGACAATTTTTAAGATCTTGACGTAGACAAGAGTTTCCTGTTGTACTGAAATAATTTACACACCTCTGGCTCTCAGATTTTCCATGATCAGGTTAGCAGTCATATCCAGGTCCATTCGTACTCTGGCCAACTGCTGCAGGTACTCCACAGTTGGCTTTTCAGCACACTGACTGCGTAATCGTAGGAAATCAGTCAGGAAGGCACTTTCCTCCTGCAAAAATACCTGCTGATCTGCAACAGACCGGAACTGCAACCTCTCAAACATTGAATCCTGAAACAATAACAGGACAAACAAAAGTTAAATCTTCATCTAAATGTAGAATACTGAATTCTGACTTTAGCTTCTGAAGCCATGTTTACCTCCAGACAGTTGATGTACATGCAGTAGAGTTCAGTTTTGTCTGTTTCATCCAAAATGTTGTTCTGCTCAACTGACACCAGATGCTGCTGCAGATATTCTTTAACATCATCAAAGCTACAAAATAAACAAGTTTGTTGAATAAAGGAAAAACAACAGATAATAAAACCATACAAGGTAAAGCACCTCACCTGTACTTCAGCAGGAGTTTCAGGACTACTGAGCGAATCACTGGATTTTTATCAATAGAATCGTCAAATGGAGAGAGCACCTTTGTCAGCATTTGCTGTTTAACTGAAAAAATAAATACAGTATATTCAGAGATCTATCCATCAATTTTCATATAGGGTCGCAGGGATGTTGGTGTCTACAAGGGCTGGGCGAAATGGCCTAAAATCAATATATTGACGAGTTCACCTCGATAACGATAAATGCACGATAACTCTTACCACCCCCCACCACACACAAGTGCACGGTATAGTATAGTCATAACACTATACACAGTGTCCATGTTCTTAGTCAAAGTTCACAGTTTAGATTTTGAACAGCTTTTCTGTAGTTTATATTTGTCATTTTAGTGTTTTTTAATATATATTTAATAAAAAACATTTTTGGCAAGACTTGAGTCAGTTATACATACAAATATTTAACCATCTCCATAAATTTTCAGTGCAAACAAGCACATTATGTATAATAATTTTATATTTAAAAAATATACCAAATATGTCTGTTGTACTGCACAAAATAACTTAATTACATTTTATTTGTTAGACTGACTGATTTCTCTATTAAAATAACTATTTATTTCAAAATGATTATATAATTTAGAGAGTTCATGTAATCATTTAATACTTTTTATTCTTCATATTTGATTATTTATTGAATCACAGAGCAGTTCAGTCACAGTATGTTCTAAATATAAGCAAACTATATTGTGAAGAATGACATTTGTGATCAACTACATAGCAGGAGCATAGCAGGGTTTTGGGTGGGGTGGGGGGTAATGCTAAGCAGAGACTCATCTTTTCTATAATATGGGACAAACAAATGTTCATCTGTTAAAGTTAATATTGTTTTATTAGAAGTACTGAAACAACGGCTCTCTCAAAACAACTCAGCCTGTGTGCTACCGTAACAGCGCTGTCGAGGAGAGGGTTTTGGTCACGAGAGCAATGTTGGACACATCTGTTCAACAGTGAAGCTCTCAACATAAACTTATAGTGTGTTAGATTTTAGATACCAATGTCTCGGGTAGCTCGGGAGTGAAGTGTGGAGGACGGGGTTTGCTCACTCAGGACAGGAGCTGCAGGCTGACCGGTGTTTATCCTGCAGACTGCTGCATCAACATCAGAAAGACCCGCCCTGCTCTGCTCTGATTGGATAAAGCTCTGGGGTTTGTTTGATTTGTTGAAAGCAATGTCTGTTTAAACCTGTATCAGACTGGGCGACTTTAACAAGATCGCAACAGAAAACAAGCAGGTTTCTCTTTTCCTCAGTTTTTAAATACCAAAAATACCGACATGGGCAAAATGACGTCAGTTATTGACATAAATGTCGGTATCGGTTATTTTTCGGTTTATCGCCCAGGTCTAGTGTCTACCTAAAGCAGTTTTATTCAGTCGCATTCAGAGATGGTAATTCTTATGCACATAAAAACAGACAGTGATGCATGCATATAAACTTGAGAAAGTATGGTAAGTTGGCTGTAGCACCTTTGAGAATGGGAACAGTGTTGGCTTCCACCATGAGGAAGGACAGCAGAATTAGAATGACATCTGAAGATGGTGGAGAGTTATCTTTGAAGCACATCGTAGACACCAGGTCAATGAAGAAAGCGTTGCATTGCTTCCTAAACTGAGCATGTTGGCCAACAAGAACCCTACACGAAATAAGAGTCACACAGATGTTTCTCAAAATAAAGTTTAAAAAAAAAGAAGTACTGAGTTTTAGTGCAAAAAAAACTGTATTTCAATAAATATATTTTTGATGAATGAAATTAATAATTAAAAAACACAACTCTATAAGTTCTCACCTGATATCATCTGATGGAACCAAGGGAAAGCCATTGTTAACTTCCTGCATGCAGAGTGGACAGTACATCTGACCTGGAATCAGCCACTGTTTGATGCAGGCTTCACAATAGATGTGTTCACAGGGCAAGCAGAGCGGATCATGAGGGTCTCCCATGCAGACCGGACACAGTACATGACCAAACCTGGATAAAAAGTAAACATTAGAACCTGATTTTATACTGTGAATATAAGAATTCTACAGCAAACAGTAGGTCCTTATTCATGTTTATAATTATCAAAACATGGAACATAAAATTATATACAATGAGTACAATTGTTTTAAAAACTCCATTGTCTATCTATGACTGTCCATACTGTATTTAGAAATTTTTTTAACATCAATAATATTATAGTCAGCATTTATAATGAGATACATAAATTGTTTTGTTTTTTTTACTTGAAAATGCGATCCACAGCTCCATCTTTGCAGGCTTTCAACAGACCAATTACTGCCTCAAATATCTGCTGACTTTTCAGGTCAGAATTTTTTTCAAGTATCTTGATGGGAAAGAAAAGGTGAAGTATTTAATTATTGACAAAGAAAACTACCAGTGTGTGGAAGCAGCGATGGCAAATCACTGTAATTTGTCTTTGCAATTTGGACTAAAACAAAGAACCCAGACAAACCTGGCCAAGTCGTCGCGTATTCTCCAAAACTAAAGGTGACAGCTTCTTGTCCAACTTCTCGATTCCCAACAACATGTGCTCCACAAACAGAGAGAGAGAAAATATCCGATTCCATCCAGATCTAGAATCAAAAAAGAACAAATATAATCTCACAAAGTTCATTTTATGACACACTATAACTCTTGGCCCCTAAAACTGAAAATACTTTTGAGTTTTGCTCAACTTACTCGACTTTGCTGACAAACGTCTTGCTCCTCTCTCCATAATGTCTCACACTGTCCTCTGAACAGATCAACTCAATGGGAACCTGGAGTTTTTTCACCTGCCTGAGCCAGGCTTGTCTTTGAGCATCAGTGTCCAAAACTCGGGGCTCCAAATGCTCCAAACATGCAAACGCAGCATACACATCGAGCACCTTGGAGACAATGAATGAAATCAAAATGTATTAGAGGCCAGAAAAAAAGCTACATATGCAATGTTCAGCAATTAGCTGTGGTGAACCCTGAAGGTGGGAGCAGCGGAGAGAACATCATGAGGAGTTGCAACTTACAAATTCAACATTGTCTCTGGCATGTGGATTTCCCAGGAGGTTTTTAGTCACTTGGGGTTCAATACGCATCATTCTCAAGAGGTTCTGCAGCCGGTTCTTGAAATTCCGATAAGCTGCATGGACCCATGGAAGAGCTGGTACTGTTTTAGTGTCATTTAGCTGCAGCCGCAGCTCAGTGACACAACAGTTTAAGGCACTACAGAGGAGCTACAAAAGCAGATAATGAACTTTATTAGCATATGTAAGCAAATAGACAGATGCTATGTAAGATTTAGAGTTTCAAGGGTGTATTGTAAAACAACCTGCAGCTCTTCTCGACAAGTGATGTTCATGGACATAGAGATGAAATCTTGAAGGTAGCGTTGATAAAACTCCATCTGCATCTCTGAATTTTCTTTTTCTATGTAGCGTCCCAGCGGTGTTTTCCAAAAGAATTCAACAAACTCTTGTTGAGTGTGCCCTATTAAATAATTTAAATACAACAAAAAACAATCAGTATCTGCTTGTTCACTAAGTGAGGGACCTGATTACATGCATTTACCTTCATTCTGCAGTGCATGAACACAGAGCTCCTCCAGGTAATCCTTAATTCTCCAACTGAAGGGCAGGCTGCAGCCCATGTTTTCATCCTGAGCAATGTAGTTCTGTACAAGGATGGTTCTTGTTTCAAAGCTGAGAAAAGTTTAAGTACACAAGGTTAAATTTAAACACATTAGGGTAAATATCCTTAGCAACAGATTATTGTTTTCTTACTAGAAGATCAGTATTAATACATACCTGTGGTCCATTGTCAGGTGAGAAATTTCCAGCAGTTTTTCATTGCTAAATATATCCAACCACAGCCTCTTCACAGAATGGCAGCAGTTTGTATCCAGCAGAAGGTCCATGTTTTGATCACGGTCAATGACTGAAACTAGCTGTGCCAAGAGGGGGACAATCACAGCCTGGACACGCTTCCATAAGGTGTGCCTGAATTTTAAGAAAAAAAAAACAAACAAAATATAAGTGCTTAAAAATGGATTTGTTTTGCATAGAATTCCTGTGAATGTAATGCAGTCACCTGAATGTGCCGCCCTCTTGCAATGCATCAATGTTTGATGCCTCTTTGAGGACCCAGTTGCTCTTGATGGATGACAGTGTGTTGCCATCATGAATCACTAACAATGAGTGGACACGCTTCTTCAGCATTTCCAGAAATTCACCTAAAATGAGACAAAATGATCAGCACTGTAAGTGCTGGAATAAAAAAATACAACATTGACTTTACCTTTAATTTCATCGTCGTCACTCAGGAGAGTCAAAAGGATTGCAACTCTTCGAGTGCTACGGAAGCCACTTTTCACATGATCGCTCAGCATGCTCACTGCACTCTGCACACAGCTCCGCAGCAACAATGTGGTGTCAATGACATTATTTGAGCCCTGCAGGTTAAATACAATAAAGTTAAAGTCTAACTTAAGTGACCCTGAATGAAATTATACAGCACAATAGCTGAATGTATCGTTAATATGGGCACAAAATGTATTAATCTGATCATGTACAAGGCTTTTATTTAAAATAGAAGTACTGACATACACAAAGTTGCAAACTTTCCCTAAAAACCACAGAAGAAATTTTACTTCCATGATGAATATAAATAAAATGTTCTAGGTCTTCTGAGTACTCAGAATGGATCCACACCAAGTTTAAATAATGGTGGACACTACTGTACACCGAGTTCCTACACTTTCGACCATCAAGGCATTCAATAATTTTGAACTCTTTCAAAATGATAAAAAAAAATTTTTCGCTAACCAACCTTTTTTGCTTCCCTGACATATTAGCATCTAGCCAGGTGGAAATATGTCAGGTTGACATAGGGTGCCTGGTCAGTTATCACAACCAGAATAACATGATCAGAAAGTGTTTACACGCACGACAATATAATGTAGAAACTAAAAATGAATAATAATCTAAGAAATCTGTGCAATATATAGTCTACACTTACACTTTCTTCTGCCTTCTCTTCCTCGGTCTCTGTGTATAGGTCATCCACTTCCATGGCTGAAATAAAATTGTCTTAATGAGAGGTAACTAGACATCACTTTCCCCAACAATTCAATTTCAAGAGCACTTTCTTAAAAAAATAAAATAAAAGGATAATTCTTTTACCTTCAGGCAGTGGTGCCTTTGTTTCAAACATCTGGCTAATGGTCATATTTTGCAAAGTCTTGATATCTGAAACAATGTCTTTTGAGCGTCTGAGGTCATCAATATGAACTGACCTCCAGGGTCCTGAAAACAGAAAAATGTTCTGTGTTATTCTTTAGATAATGTGGTAAAGTTAACAAATAATTTAACAAGTCATAATAAGCCTACCTCCATGAAAGCCAATGTAAGATGTGCCTCCTTCCACTCTTGGCAGTCGTGTGATAAAGTAGACAAACACTCTGCTTCCTGTGTTTTCCTGTGTTATCTTGTTAATTTCATTTATTGATGAATACCTAAAATGAATAGTAACATTTCACACATTAATACACAATAGCCAATAACAATAATAATAAATATTGAGACTTACTTTGCAGATGCAATTAGGTTTGCACTGTGAGATGCTTCATCAAAATCACACTGAATGATGAGGACTTTGTTGTTTGGTTCAGTGTTTTTTCCATTTCCATTTGTGAGGAAGCTCCTATAACAAAACAAGAATTAAGTTTAAAGATTAAGGATATATATACCCTACATTACAAGTAAGTTTAAGTATTTGCTTGCTGCTCAATTAAATTAATTGTTTCTTTGAAGAAAATATTTAAAACAATATACCAGTTTACAGTAATTTACTTGTGATATCAAACTAATAGCAATAAACTGATAAAATTGTAACCATAAAACTTGTCTGAACTGTTCCCTAGTAGGATTGTGTATAACTTTATACATTACTAAATAAACAACTGTGTTGTGGTTTAACTTTCCCCAACTAAAGCATGAATGATACATTGACATAGTATATCAGGAAACAAACCTGATCTTCTTCAGGAAAGAGTGCTCTGTGTCAAACTGCTGAAGTGAGAGTAGCTCAACGTCATGGAAAAATTGCTCCAGAGATTTCATGTCAAACGCTGTCAAAAGTCTGGAGAACGTTGTCACCTGATGTTCAAAATGGTAATTAGGCAATATAAACTTAAAGATACATAATATTTTATTAAATTTATTTTACCTCTGTGAAAAAGGAGGAGTAATGGGATTTCAGCTTTGTGTGGCCAAGTATGTAAACAGCTAAAGAGCTGTTATTTTGCTCCTCAAAGTACACCTTGGCCAGATGTTTGCTCTCCACTTTTGGCAGGCCTGTGCAGTCCAACCGCACCACTGAGTCTGGCGTAGCACATTTAAGGAGTATGAGCTTAGCTTTATCAAGCAATCCCCTGTGAGAATCTGAGATTTCCATATTGTCCTTCTGCTCCTCAATGACTTCAAGAACCACAGAAGCACATGTGTCAGAGTGGTAGCCAATGAAAACATCTGGGAGCTGATATTTGTATGTCTGAGCTCCTGTTGCATGCTGATTGCTGAGAGATGCAAAAAGATTTGCCCATCTTTCCAGTTCTTCCACTAGCTTCTTCTGCTCGGTTTTGAGAACCGTGTGAATGTCAAGGTAGTGCTTCTCCAGCCTGTTAATCAGAGGTATTGGGAATTGTTTGTAGACCACCTCTCTTTCCTCAATGACAATCAGCCGGAAGTCTTTGTGTACTCTGCACTTTACACGATGTGTTCCCAGTCCAAGGTCCACATATTTCTGCCCACCCAAGCATACATAATACTGGTTGAGAGCATCATAGAGACTTTCGTAGAGGTTCTGTAAGTTTAGAAGCACAACTGTTTGACCTGTTTCCATGCATATCTTTACTCGGTTGATGTTGCGACAGATCTGCGTGTACTCTTGGTCTTTTGGGAAACTAGATCCAAAGATTATTTCCGGTTGACCACTTTCAAAAAAGAAGGTTTGCTGGAGGATCTGTAAAGCTGCATAGTTTTTTGTTAGTACAAGAAGGTAACGACACTCTTCTTCTTGTCCAACTGCTTGAATGTTTTCTTTCACAAACTCAATAGCACTGATGTTCTCCAAGTTAGGTGCAATCTGCAGTCTTTCAGTAAAGACAAAAACAGCATCAACATCATCCTTACCACTGAAGTTTCTCAAGACAGCCTTTACAATCTCTTCTGCTGTGGGGGTCTGTTGAGAGGTCTTTGCAACAGCAAATATCATCTTAATCAAGCTGTAATAGTCACGTAAGCCAAAAAATCCTTTGCCTTGTTTGCGGCAGATGTTCAAGTAGGATCTTGCAAAGGGTTTGAAAAAATCCCTGACTTTCTCGAGAACCATTACATCAGATGAGCAAATGCCTTTAGCACTCTCAATGAGTTCCTTCTCATCAGGGTCACCACGAGAAACAAAAATACCTCTGTTCATCTTTGCAGGGTCTAGTGCCCAGTTGGAGATACCAATGAACCCAACCTTTTTGTGTGGTAGGGGTTCATCATCAATGCATCCCTCCTCTAGCAATGGGTGAAGAGTTTTCAGAGGCATCTTTGGTGAGTCCTCAGCTAGTCCAATCTCATCAAGAACCACAACTGAAATGTACTCATTCAGGTTTTTTCCTTCCTGAAATCGTCCGCATTGCTTGAATGTATTGATAATGCCTTCTGGGGTTGAATGAGGGCTACACTGGAAGGACACTAAATGGATCTGTTTGAGCTTTTTATACAGGTCAGAATGTGCAGCTTGGCCCTGCATTGCATCTGCCACTAATGTTTTAGACAAAGACTTTGAACTCCCAGGTTTCCCAACAAGGAAGAGTGGGATTCTCAGCTCAATGCAGAGAACCATCATGAAGACATTCTCTTTAAGGGCACTGTTTTTTGCAATTGTTTCCCCCATTGGGACACCACTCAAAAGTAAGTCCTGCATGAGTGAAATTTCTTGCATTACTTTTGATGGGTTGTATCGTGAGGGTAGTTGTTTGCTGATTTTCGATCTGTATTTGTCTTTATGTTCAAGACAGGCATGGTAGCACACTCCTATGGCCATAACTAGAGACCAAAGAACAGGGTCTTTGATCTCAGGTTGTCTTTGATGGCCTTCATTTCCTTCATCATTTTGATTATTCTCAAATTTCTGAAGCTCTGAAAAGAAAATTTCATGATGATCATGAAACCAAACAAAAGCCTGCATGCAGCGTTCCACATCTCTCAGGCTGACAAAGCTGCATTCATCATTTCTTGTCCGCATGTACTTCTGTGAAGCTGAAAGAACATCAGTGATGTTCTTGATATAAGTTTGATCAATTTCTTGCCTTTCAGTCACTCTTTGTACTATCTGCTGGATGTAGATTTTCTCTGTGTGATCATTTAACTGTCCAAAGTCCCACACCAAAGGAATCATGCTTGGTGGCAATGCCTGAACTCGATATACAAGTTGGCGAAGAGGGATAGACCCCAGTTTTTCATCAGTCTCTTCAGATCGAACTCGATACCCCAGACCTGCAGATTCTAACCTTTGAATCATCTCGTCTGTGTGCTTTCGGTAAGGGTTGCATGCAGCAATAATTTGCAACCCTGAAAACGGCGTCAAACTTTCTCCCTTCACAGTCTTGTCACACAAGACCTCCTTGATACTGCTGATAGCCTCTGTAGTATTGGCCTCATCAAAGAAAAGAACAGAGTCAAATCCATAGTCTTGCTTGTTGATAGCAGCAATGTTCTCTGCTTCTCTGACTTTAGCATAGATCATCTCAGAAGTTGTCCCTCCATGCACCTTCACCAGTTTCATGTTTTCAGTTGCTACTCCACTCCTTTGCAGTTCGCATAGGAATTTGATGAGCCTTGTTTTACCACACCCTGTTTCCCCCATGATAATGACGGGAATGCCACATCTGAACCGCATGTGGATTGCTAGCATCTTCAATATATTATCAGTTGTTAGTTCATATGTTTCATCAGGATCAAGAGGCCACTGGATACCAAGAACTCTGCAGATTCGTTCTATTTTCTCATATCTTGGAAGGCTATCAAAGTTGACATTAAAAGGGACTCTCTGAAGCTGCAGGCCTTCATACAGTGCTCTTGTCATGACATTCTTTTTGATCACCCTTCCGGAAGTAGGCTCAATAGCATCAACATAGTTCTGTTCATTGAGCTGAAGATGAAAACCAATAAAGGTCATGGACACATGGTCATCATTAAAGAAAATGTATGGATGTGGTTCAGTTTCCCATCTTTTTCTGATGAGAAAAGGGGCCAGATCTTCATCTCGGACCCCTGTCAGATTAACTTGCAATCTGCCAGGGCTCTCATCAGAGATGTTGAGTGATGGAGTGGCAAAGTCCTTTGCCATCAGTATCATGAAGTCCACAACAAAGGTTTTGAACCCACTTAGTGTATCTCCAGTGAAAGTGGCATCACAAAAAACTGACGTCTCACAATCTTTTAGCTGAAGGTTGAGAAACCAGGTGAAATTTCGAAGTTCTGCCCAGGATGGATCCATTATGCCACAGTACATGAGAAGCATCTGCAGACACTCTACATGTGATCCCTCAACACCTTGAAAGGTAATAACATCTAGATCAGCATGGTTATGAAATCGCTTGAGGTATTGGTATGGTCGCTGAAAGGCTTCACTCCTGAACTCTTTGTCATCCATTAGTGGGTCATCACTGCTCACAATAGTTGGATCCTCTTGCTTTCTCATCTCAAGCATAAGCACATCTTTTGGTGGTCGGCAAAATATATTTGGAAACACATCTATGATAGTGTTGTTCAACATTTTAGCCTAATAAAAAAGGAGAAAAAAATGAAATAATATGTATGTTACAATTTAACCATGACTAAATTGGGTAATTAGATCTTGTGAAAGATGCTTGATAAAACTTACCTCACGAGTGGCATTTCTGGTCGACTTGACAGTGGGCTCTAAAATTTCCATGACATAAAGCTGTTTGGTATTACACCTCCACATCTTTCCCTCAGAGTCCATCAAATAGCGCAAAATCAACAATTTGAAAAGGAACTCATGAAGACCTTTCTGAACCTTTTTAAACAAAACAATATAAAAATAATTAACCTGTCAAAGAATGTATATAAAAGGCCTTATGACATACTTTGATTTAACTCAATATTTACCGATGACGTGATGTCAAAGTGGAAGACAACAAGTTCTTTCCTTTTAGGAGTGTCCAACAGAGACTGAAGGATGACAGTCTCATCAATGTTAGGCTCAATCAAGCGGATGCATTTCATTACGGATTGCTTTTTAGTAGAGTGTTTTAGTTTCTCATAAAGCCTCTTGATGTACAGAGATTTACCTGCAAATAAAAATACAATTACACAAATAATAATAATACTATAACAAAAAAATTAAGAAATAAAACATTTTCAATTGAATAAACTTATTCTGAGAAAGTTCTCATACACACCAACACCAGCTCTTTTGGATGAGACAACACCAACACAGAGTCTGTCTTTAAACGCAGCTGCAGCACTGCATTGATCTTCAGGGACAATGTAGTGTTTCTGGAGGTATCTCTGAATTCTGGATAATGGCTCTTGAGGTATCATATGCAACCTGTACTGGCTGAAAGCAGATGGAAGGTAGGCATGCTCTCTTTCTGAGCTGCAAATGACAACAAGCCTGTAGTCTTTCCTGCTCTGCATTTTCATCCACTGAAAAAAGTTCTCAACTTTAGAGCTCACATCATATGTGAGAAGATCTCCATACAACAGACAGTATATTTTCTGACCCATGTAGCCTGTGCTAAGGCAGCGTCTGAGGAAAAGCTCTACTTGTTCATATGGAGTTGAAGGACTGCACATAAGAACCTCATCATAGGTGGGAAGAGCCTCATCCATGCTGCTCATGTAAACGGAGATGCAAGATGTCAAAACATCATCATGTGGACAAACAATGAGATTTGGCTTTCCAACGTCCAGACCTTTAGGGAGCTGCCTTCTTAGAAAATTTTCAGAGTTATCATCAGAAATGTCTTCTTCACTGTCATCCTCGTCATTCTTGTCAACAAAGTTAGACAGTTTTTCCAAAAGTCGGCCAAGGGTTTTCATATCAAGGATGTTTGGGAGGAAACTCCTCATGTCTTTCATGTAAGCATTCCATATCTGGTCAAATGCTTTTAAACCTTTTGCTTTTTCCACAAGACTTTGCAAACAATCCAATTCCCCAGTCATGTCTGGTTCTTCTAACATGCTTCTCGACACCATAACAAAAGTCTGAAACTCAAGGTCTTCATTTTGCTCTTGAGGTTTAGTGAGGTTTTCATACTGAAGTGTGTGCCACACTTGTCTTAAATCTTGTGAAGTGCAATTTGGTTTAATAAATGAGAGCATCATGAGAACCTGCTCTTCTACACTAATCACATTTTGCTGAACCAGCTTGCTACATAGGTAAACAATCTGCTCAGCGGTGTAGTAGTTCAAAAAATAATGATAGGATCTCTGTTTGTCTACATAATTCATCCAGTAGTCCAGGCATTTCTCCATTTTTCTGCAAAGTTCAGGGAGCTGCTCCTCTATGCTGCCCTCTACAACGACACTGAGAAAATTGTCCAAATTAAAGTCCATAACAATGCTGGGTTCATAGCTACTTGAGGAGCAATTTATTTGCACTTCCCAGTGTCTGAACAGAGGATTTCCAGCAGAGTAAAGTGCAATGAAAGCCTCAGTTAGTCTTTGAATGCTGGCAAAAACCTAAGAAACAGAAACATTACACATGGTGGTGAAAATGTTTCCATGTGGAATAAATTGTATAAAACAGATAATTTAAATCAATATAAAACATTTGCAGTACTGGATCGCATGAAAAAAATTAATAAAATACCTCTACAAAATGATCAACTTCATTCTGCCCTTGATCCCCTTTTCCAGACATGAGCATTAGTTTGTTCTGCAGCTCCCTCAGGTCTTCAAGAGAGTAGCTGCGCATGTGCAGACCATCATCATGCTCCTCTGGAATCTGAAGCTTCATGGCACTATTAAGTGTCAACTGGTTCAAGAGTCAAAAATACATGTGTACACATAACTTTGGAAGAACTTTAAACTTCTGTACTGCATCAACACAATGAAGCAATAATCATTGTTTATGGCTTTTTACCTGCTTTACATTTTGCGCATTGATGAGGTAGATTCCCTTGTTGTTAATAGTTGATGCTAATGAGAGAGACGAAAGCTCTACAGATCCATGGCTATCCTTTACAGTTTTCAGCCATTCCAGATGACGTGCACTGTCACACTAAAAAATAAACAACAAATTTTACATTTTACCAGAATTTCTAGGAACATTTGTAATTATTCTTCAAAGTTCCTTTAACATTTTTTCAATCAAAACATATGTATGGCAAAAACAAGACATTATTAAATGGCATTGCTTCCCAAAGTTACCTAAACTTGTATTAATGTATATTGGCAAAATAGTTAGCAAAGAAGATTAATTAAAAACCTAAACTGAAATTATTTCTGGAAAGATTCACATTATTCTTCGTGTTACCAGTTTTTTAGGGAGATTGTTGTCATTTTCCAAAGCTTTCCAGAGCTTGTTGAGCACTTCCTTAAAGGCACGAAAGCCAGAGTCTGGTTTGAGTTCATAAAGAACGGAAGCATAGCCGAGGACTGCATCATGGAAGCAAGCAACCCGATCCACATCCATGTCATTTTCCCCAGCAGAAATGGAAGCCAAGTCCACAAAAACCTTCAGCTCATTGATATCTAGGAATAAGAATTTGGTTAAAAAAAGTAACAATTTTTAGAAACTACCACTAAAAAAGAAGTGTTGTGAAAAGGTAACTACACTTACCCTCAAGGGCATCCTTCACCCATCTTACAAAGTGTCCTCTGAGTCCTAGTTCTTTTAGACACCGTCTGCGTGATTCTGTGATGTCAACCAGAACCATCTTTGCCTGCATTAAGTCACTGTCGATTCGACTAATTGGCTCCTTCTGAAAGTCTGCGTGAATCTAATGTGAGAAAAGTCAAAGTTACAGTTCCAGACAAATGTTATTAATTACCTACAAAAATATTTGTGTTTTTTAATTGTGTACTTTTCAAAGCTTTTGCTACCCAAAACCTTGTAATAGCTAAAGAGCAGATAATTTTTTTATTCTGTTAATGGGGGTTATTATATGAATTTGTAAATCTGGACGATATGTGCAAGATGACAACCAAGAAGTTTTTTTTTTTGAGAGGTTTTTGATTAGCTTTACACAAGAGTTTTACAATGCACTGTAAATTCCTATCTGTATGTTCAAGTAATATTAGTAGTCATCTTCAAAGTTACTTACAACATTCATAAGTGTTTCCAAAACTCTGAAGTCTCCTTGAAGGCCGAGTGTCTCCTTGACTTTCATGATAACTACAGCAGAGTCCACAGCTAGGTGAAGCTCGTGATACTGTTTAATCTGTTCAACCCTGGTGTTGATCCATTGTTTGTCGGCTGAATTCTCAAATTTACACATGATATTCAGCTCCTCTGTGAGATTAGCATATTTGTCTTTGTATGCTCCAAAAAACTGCTTAATTTCTTCAATCCTTATACTGCCATTCTTCAGACGAGTATAGAGGTCTTTGTATTCATGACGACAAGGCATGTAAATGTCACTGTATATCATGTCTGTCGTTGCCTCTATGTCAACGATTTGATCTTCGTCATCTTCCCTTTGTTCCTCGGCCAGGCTTTTGGCATGTTTCTCCCAACACATTTTGAAAACACGACTGTCTTTGAAGTCAAACAGATCTACTGCCATGTTTCTGACCTCTTCATCCAGGTTGAAAAAGGTTACAATACCAGCCACTTGGTCAATGGCAATTTGGCCAAACTGACTCACTTCCATAAAATGGTCCAAAGGCATCATTTCAATGTTGACTTTTGTTTTCATCTCCAAGTCAGCAACATCAACTATTGGAAATATGAAAAGATAAAATATGAAAGGACAGGATGTAGAATTTTTCTTCAAGAAACCAAATAATAAGTCCACAAGTACAGTCATCTTACCGGTCATGTGTTCCTCAAGTTTATGACACATTGTTAAGAGAGCTTCCACAAGCTCCTTTTCAATGTACACATCTTTCAATTCTTGTTGTCTGTGCTGCAAGAGTGTCTTCATTTTGTCTTTATCCTTGTATTGTTCTTTCTCAGACAGGCAGTCTGTTTAAACAAAACACATACAAATTTCTGGTTGTTTTGAATTGTATGAATATTGAACATATTTCTCATTTAAATCTGATTTTACCAATCTTCAGCAGCTCTAAGAAGGCAGCTTTCCTCTCCAAAATGTTGTTGAGCAGATTAATTTTAATGTGTCCCTGGATCAGCTGATTGTTTATGGCTGTGAATAATGATATGGCTATAGCAAGTCTGTCCCTGGCCTCCGGAGAAAGTTGCTCAATCAGCTTTTTGTCTGCACCTGTGAAAACAGAATTACAGGTCAGTGACCCTCAAATGTAAGTTTTGATTTCTTGTGTGTTCAGGAATAAGTGCTATTATGAATTAGCTGGATTTTACACATTTATTGTTCAATCTAATCCTACAAAATTTTTCAATTTGAAATTTAAAAGGTTGAGTTGTGTTTTCTTTCTTTTTTTTTTTTCCTGAGGAGATACCATGTAGCTGGAAAATATCCTTGGCAGCAGTCCAGGAGAGGAGGTGTTGAAGGACCACTTCTTCATCTTCTTGATAATTTCCATAAGTGTCCTTTGGCCAAGATTTTTGAATGATGGCAGAGATGAGATTCCCAAACTTCCAGTTGATCTTTAACCTCTCAAACAGTTTGCCTTCAGACCTGGACTGCATTTAATGAAGATAAATTGATCAATCATTCAAGACAGAAGATGAGCTAAAAGCTTGTCTTTAGCAAGACCAAAGAAGATTTCTACCATCTTAAAACTCCAAACTCAAAACAGTTCAAAGTGGTTAATACAAACAGTATTTAATAAACAATTACAATGCCACAAATGTTGCATTGGATAGTTATGTAGTATTTTAACTGATGACCCGGTCAATCACAGTTTATTATTGGTAGCATTACATATTTCTCTACCTAGTCACTCCTAATAAATTTTGCTTGGCAAAACAAATTCCTGAAAGAATCACTTCAGAAAGTCTGAACTTTTGATTTAAATGGATACTTAGATGTTAAACCTGTGACTTGTGCAAGATCAACATTTGTTTTCTTTATTTTTATTTCAGACAACAGTGTTTTTGTAAAAAGTAAACACTCACTCATTGGTATTGTAACTAAATATGATCATGAGTGCAAAAATATGGCAAATAATTGTGTATATGATCAATTTTAAAGCTTTGTACCTGACACAAAGAAGTAACAGCTTCAAGAGCACACTTTTCAATGCTGGCAGCAACATGTGGATGGGAAATGCTAAGTTCCTCTATGTTTGTGCAGTAGAATTCAATTTGATTCAGATCCGATTCCTAAAACCACAAAAGCACACAGATTACAAATATGACCAACAAAAATCCCAAACATCTCCTTGTCCGACGTACCTGTTTGTACTTTCCCTCAAAGTCCATAGTGAATGTTTGCCTCCATTGTTTTGTGAATTCTTCATCTTTGAAGTCAATGGAGATTAGTTTGTTCCATACCTGGTACATGCAAATATTAAATTTATACTTTAACTATTCTGTTTTTGATAAACTGCAAGTATTCATCTGTATATTTAGTGTCTGACTGATAAGGCATGGAAAAAATGGCACTCACTTCTATTTCTTTTGTTTTAGTTGAATACCAGGAAGACAGACCTCCACTGAGCAAGCCCTGTTTGAAAGACTGAGTCATCCAGTCTCTCATTGTCTCCATCCCCTGTGAGAGCCATACATCTTTTGCAAATCCCTGCTTTCTGTCTGCTTGTTGGCCCTCCTGAAGATGATTTAGTATAATTATAAAATTGCTAATAAATGTCCACGTTGAATATAGTATGAACTAAACTTTTTGTACGTACCCGTTCCTTCTCATGCTGAAAATAGTCTGACACTGATGCAACCAGATTCATGCATGCTATTGAAACATCAGGAAAGTTCTGGGTGTATGATGCAGGCTTGACACCTTTGCAGACCTTCTCTAACAGTCTCACTGCTGTTGCCAGACACTCATTCCCGTAGGCTTCAGTGAAGTAACTGTAATAAAAAAAATTATGAAATGGAGGAATTAGAT